AGCCAGCTGGAGTGTAGCTTTCTCGCCAACTGGCTCAAAGCCAATGGCATCGTGTTTCCAGCCTCCTGGCGGTCTGTTGCGCCCTTTTTTAGGCCGGGCCAACTAATGAATTCCCCGTAACTGACTTACAGGAGCCTGAGTCACTGCAGCGCCAGGCGGTTGGGGCTCCAGACATATAAAGGAAGTCTGTGAGTCAGGTTACGGCTTCTAAAAGACTGAGGCTTGAACGCGATACTGCAATTAAGCTCATATAGCAGACAACAAAAGAGCACTTCATTAGAGATAGACGAGGTATGGTAGCCACGTATTAGATCGTTTGCAGCTCAATAAGACTAGACTTAAATTCTAGCAGTTATTCAGTGTATGGTCCATTTCAATGAATCTTAGTTTCTGAAGCATAGAATAGACTACATTAATTTAATAAATTCTTTGTTATTTTCGCTTATTGATTAGCACAAATGGAAGTAGAGAGTCAAATTGAAAGGCACTTAAACTCCCTACGGCGACTGAAGCCTCCTTTGAAGCAACAGTGCTTTAGAACACAGAGTTGATACTCTCTCAGCACAGAGTCGAAATGTATAAAAAAATGACCGAACATTTTTTGAAAGAATATTGAGTTGATATTGGAGTTGATGAGATTCGGTCAATTCGGATAGAAAATAACCTTTATTTAGAGTTGACGGAACACTGTTTTATTTCAAACATCGACTGCATGAACAGGGCAAACCCCTACCAAAAACATACTTGCATTAATGTGGGCAACATTGAAGTCCCTGGGAACGGATATCAACAAGTGGAGATACATTTTAACAAGGTACACAAGAGGCACCACAGCAATGTAGGAGGTTTCACCGGATCCATGATCCAGATCCAAATCATGACATTACTGTAACGATGTCTATCAATTAATAGTGCACTAACACTACACCTGACACGGCTGAGGTGCCCGACCGTTGCCGCGATTACCTGGGCCCTTTAGTAGAGGACGTCGCGTCAACACGCCAATTAATAAAGACTGAGCAGCCCTCTGAACACATAATAACGAATAGCTGTGTTACAACGTTATTCTGACTCATCGTTATTCTTACAACGTTATTCTGACCTCAACAAACATATACATTTGATTCTTACTTAAACGATTTGATGCGCAGAAGGAAAGGATGATCGATCTGCGATCGATGCGCAGAAGGATAGAATTTCCTTGGTCTTTTTGTACGAAATACACTAATAAGAATATTTTACGAACTGAATTACACAGAAACCCAGCATGCGAGTTATCAAAACGTATCAAATGATTAGCGTCTCCACTGCAGCTGATACGGTGGACATTAAAACGACGCATATAATCAGATCAAAACTTGCGAGTAGCTTCGTAGAAGGGCAATTACATCTTGATGTGATCGATAACAATATTCGTTATATCCAACGATCGAAACCAATTTAAATTTCCTACTTGGTTAAGAACAAAGACTCAAATCCTGGAGTAAATTGGATTCATTAGGAGTCTGGGGCCCATTCAGGCGGGCGCTGCTAAAAGCCTGTCAAATTATGCATCGCGGGAGCCACAAGAGGTCTAAACGTAATGTCTCCTAACTGAATTCTCTCCCTAGAAAAAAGGCTTGAATAAAACACCGAATTAGGAAAAAAATTAGATAATATCCGTACTAGAACCCAAATTTTCCGTACTAGAACCCAAAGTACAGAAAAGCTTATATGAAAACATTGAATGAAATTAGTGAACTGCTGTAGATGCTACGATCATTGAACTTTAAGTGCGGACCACATTCCACATTGTAATAGAATACGCAGCATGGGACGGGTGAAGCAGCTGATATGAACACGCGCACCATGGGACGAGGGAAGCAGCTGATATGAACGCGTGCAGCATGGGACGGGTGAAGCAGCTGATATGAACGCGCGCAGCATGACGCGCAGCATGGGACGGGTGAAGCAGCTGATATGAACGCGTGCAGCATGGGACGAGGGAAGCAGCTGATATGAACGCGCGCAGCATGGGACGAGGGAAGCAGCTGATATGAACGCGCGCAGCATGGGACGAGTGAAGCACAAAATCTGAATTTTTAGTGACTTTGTCTACAATCAAGCTTTGTTATAACTGAAAATTTGGCGTTAAAGGGATTAGATCACCAATGCGAAGTGATTCAAATCCAGGGATTGGAACATCAAAAAAAGTTTGTAATTTGTGTGACTAAGGATCACGTTTCGTTTAAAATAACGTGCCCGAGAATTTCTCAGACATGGAGGTGCAAATACGAATAAAAAAAATTAAAGTAAATGATAATGGAAAAATTGTGTTACAAATAGATTAAAAATAGCTGTCAAGAGTCAGTCATGGAGATGCCAAGCGTCAGTCGTGGAGCTGCCAAGCGTCAGTCGTGGAGCTGCCAAGTGTCAGTCGTGGAGCTGCCAAGTGTCAGTCATGGAGCTGCCAAGCGTCAGTCATGGAGCTGCCAAGCGTCAGTCGTGGAGCTGCCAAGCGTCAGTCATGGAGCTGCCAAGCGTCAGCCGTAGAGTGTCCCCGCTGTTGCCACGGTCGAGTCAAGTTGAGCTCAGCGACGCGCAAGATAAGGACGGGGCGCTGAACAGCGATGCGCTCAGTTCCGCGATAGGTCGATAACTCGACGGCACTCCGCCTGCCGCACCTCCACTCACCGCCACACCTGCCTTGCGACTGCCGACTGAGTGGCGAGCCGTTCTAGTCCGGGCGCAACGCAACGCGTAACGTTCATGCCATGCAACTTGCGAACCGGATATTCTTTTCAGACGTTTTCGTTGACTTTAAATATTTTGCGGTGTTTGTGCTTCTTGGCAATGACGAGGCCGTGTAAAAACATTACAGCCATAGCCCTGGATAGGGTGACACATGTTCATCAACTCGTGAAAATTAAATCAGGGTCCGATATGCACCATTAAGGTATAGCCACCATCGTGCCGCAGTGCACACTTCGGTTGAATTAACAGTCTTGCGTACCGGTATCACGACATTTTTAAATAAAACGCGCTTGTGTTCCATGCAATGCGGGGCAGAAGCTGATGCGCCCCGTACACCTGCGTGTTTGACTCGCAAGAAAGGCTAGCCGATCATGACTCGCGAACCTCATTCAGTGATATTTCACCATACACCTTCGTTCTTTGCTCCTAGCGTCCAGCCATGAAGATCAGTCCGCCGCAGTAAGTTTTAATTGTTCCGCATAAAATGTTAATAATTAGTGTGACTGAATCTCTGTTTAGTTTATTGACTAAACATGTTTCTTTCTAATGACAAACCACAAATAGAAAAGGGGAAACTCTACCGGAGTTCCTACTAGGAAAATTCCTGTCCTATACGAGGAAATATCTAAGCAGATTTGATGTGTTTCGGATATACGGAGGGAAAGTGCATCGGACGAGTATAATCTAAATTGATTTTAAGCGAAATAACCTAATTGATTTTAAGCGATTGTGAGGTGATATTCGTTAACCTATGTATGAACAGCTGTCGGTTTCTTGACATGTACCCCCGCCCATACTTCATTTAGCAGGATAGCTGCATCTACAGCTTACTGCGGCGGACTGATCTTCACGACTGGACGCCACGGGCAAAGGACGAAGGTGTATGGTGAAATATCACAGAATCGGGTTCGGCTACTCGGATTCGCGAGTGTGACGCGCCGGACATTAAATAACCAAAAGTTTTTTCTTAGATGAAAAATGTTGGTCGTTGAAGAAAACTCGAGCGCGTACGTTCAGTTTTAATCATTAGACGGTGGGTAGTCACACCGCTGACACGGCCGTTACGAAACAATAAGCAATAATAATGTATGCAACAGACCAAACAAACACAGAAAACGTGTCGTGGGTGGGTAGCATGCTGCTCGTGATGCAACATTCACTTAAATATAATTGTTAAAATTCTGATTCAGTCATAGGGCAACTTGCTTACTTGTCTATATAGAGCGTTAGATCCTTTCATTAATTAATGTCATCATATTTTTAACTTTAAAATTGTTATTTTATCGGCAATAGCAGCGTTAACATGAAGTAGAAGTACCGCGTGAGATGCGTGTAACATCTTACATAAGTGGTGACATGTTGCACGATCTCCCAGGTCCCTACACATCTACACTCGTATGTGCAGCACGTGTCCTTGTCATATCCATGTTGGACTTAAATCGGAAACATCATTGGTAAATTAAAAATTGATGTTAAATCATTCATCAAATTATACACTAACATACACAGAACGAGATCAATATAAGAGGTACAAACCCAGTGACCCATACCGATATGAACGCGCGCACCATGGGACGGGTGAAGCAGCTGCTATAAACGCGTACGGGTGAAGCATCGGGGTGAAGCAGCTGCTATAAACGCGTACGGGTGAAGCATCGGACGGGTGAAGCAGCTGCTATAAACGCGTACGGGTGAAGCATCGGACGGGTGAAGCAGCTGCCATAAACGCGTACGGGTGAAGCATCGGACGCAGCCGAAATAACTGTTAGAAATAAGGTTTCCAGTGAAGATATTATAAGGGGAACCTTATTTCTAACAGTTATTTTCAGGGGAACCTAGGGGAACTATATTTTATTGCACGTATTTCTACTGGGAGCCTTTTGACTTCCATTCCCCCCAGCTGCTTCACTCGTCCTATGCTGCAAGCGTTGATATCAGCATGGGTCATAGACCATTGACACACGCGTATGATCTTACACATTACAGCGAGGCATCAACACGAGACACATACGCCTCTAGTTAGGGTGAAGCATCGGACGGGTGAAGCAGCTGCTATAAACGCGTACGGGTGAAGCAGCTGCTATAAACGCGTACGGGTGAACCATCGGACGCAACTGCTTCCTTCGTCCTATGCTGCACGCATTGATATCGATCAGTATGGGTCATAGACCATTGACACACGCGTATGATCTTACACATAACAGCGAGGCATCAACACGAGACACATACGCCTCTAGTTGATGACCGACCTAGAGTCCTTGACTCACCCAAATCTGCTCCTGAAGGCCCTATGCCGGCGCTCGTCAGCGTCGGGCGTGTGGTCGGTGTCGCTGGAGGACTCATGCAGGTGGTGGTGCTCTGGGTGGTCGTAGTTACCGCCTCCACCGCCCCCACCACCGCGCCGGTCCTTCGAACTTGCCATCAATGTGCACCACAGCAACGCTTCAGTCGTCAAGAACTTTGATGACGTTATCCAGGGAATGGTTCACGGAGCCACAATTAAATTTTCACGAGATGCCCTAAATTTTCAGCTATGGAGAAATGCTCTACAGGGCAAGGTATTTTGGAATAATGTTTACAAGTCTTACTGAATAAGGATTAATAACCAACTCAGAAATTTTCACGATTCTAAAGCAATTTTGACAACACCAGCAAATCAATATCTGCTATGCAAGGAAATTAGGCTGTTGAGAAAAATTTTATGATGAATTTCAATGATCTGGAAAAAATATCAACAACTTATTAGTGATATATTTTCTAAATAAAGATCATTAGCATAGAAACAAATACTAAATGAATTTATTGCAGAACTTCAAGCAGCATACAAAATGGATTAAGCTATATTAATTTTTTTCCTAAGCACCAAAAAAAGTTGCCTGTTGGTTTGCACTCGCACAAACGAATGCATCACCAATAAGCAATAAACTCACTTGCCAGTACATTTTATTTACACACACGTGGTGGTGTGACCGGTCACAGAATAACAGATGTCATCCCAACAAAATTAACAAATAGGTATTACAAGGTGAAAGATCATTATCATCAAAATTTAAAATATTTTCTATCAAATTCTGAGGAAAATTTACAGAAATTTTTTAGTTTTTTATGTGTGGTCATTAATCCCCATAAATGCACGCAATCATAGTGGTAAACCAAAAAACCAGCTCATTTTCAATTCCCTAATCTAGTTTACAATTTAATTCAAAAATGTATGAAATTATCTACATGCCTCAGACAATTTTGTCTCATTCAAGAGTGGATTATACTTAATTTTGCAAGCAACTGTGAAAGTTCTAAGTAAATTGGCTAGGTTGCTATGAGTTTCAGTAAACTGAAAAATTAGGCAAAAGCCAACTGCAAATGATACGCTGTTTGCATGCTCAGAGACAATTTCACCCATAATACCCATTACTTGCTTACCTTATTCTGCTGAGTACTTCATTTGCTCAAATAGAATAATAATTGCATATTTTTCAGCATTTTATAAAATGCCCTTGAAGCAAACTGCAAAGTAATTTTCAGTTCTTTAGCAAAATAATATTAAAGCACCAATGAGTTTAAAAACTTCAAAGTGATTGGTATGTTCAAAACTCCTACAGCAGCTACAAAACTGACAAACTGGGCAGAAATGCAAAAACCAAGCCACCCTTGATCCTGATTCCTGAATAAGATAAAATTGCCTCTTATTCTATAAACTTCTGATTTCTTCACTGCAAATTTAGCAAAATGTCACATACCATCAAATGGGTAATAAGGGATGAATTTGAGAGTTTTTCCTTAATAACTTCTTACCATGAAACATTTCATAAACGAGTTTAGGCTCATTCTAAAGGTATTTGCAAGGGCTATCGTATGATATCTCTGAAAAATATTCCACATGCTATTTGTAAGGTGCCAGACACAAAATAAAAGCCTCCTGAACTAACCCTGGGAATGGGGTAATAAGAGACACTTGAAATAAAACTAAATTTTAAATGTTTAAAGCATGCAGAGCATGCTCATTCATTACTAACAGTACTCTGAAGTCTTCCTCTTCCTTTGTAGATAATGTAAATGTAGAATAAATGACATTTTTGTGATTTTTACTTGTTTTTCATTTACAGATATAAATATTACCTTATCCATACATTACCATATTATTGATGTGATATTACCTAATCCATGGAAATGCCATTGAGCATTGACAACAACCTTGTCCGCTGTAAACTTCACATCAGCAGCCATGTCGCATTTCTTCTGTAGGTAAGCTTACAGGACAGCTTGTAATTTTGCACCATTTTAATTGAGTCAAGTGAATTCACTATAACATAAAAAGACTGTAAAAACATACCTGAAACAGGAAGGAATATTTTTGTGACAACCATCATATTATTTGGGAAAATAAATTATAGTTTAGGTTAATTACTTTTCATTCTATGTTGCCCGGTGCATAATTCTATCTATGACATTCTATGCACAGTTTGGTGATGACCCATGATGCATTAATTTTTTTTGTCAAGTGAAATTTTTTGCTGAGTGAGATAAATTTTTTTTAAAGGCCTCCCACACTCACCATTCCAACAAAAAGGGAATTAATTTTCAATAAATAAATCTAATCAAAATTCCTTGTTGTCAATTGATTTTTTTGTTAACTGAAGCCTTTGCTAACCCAGGCTCTACTGTAAATGCATTTGTAAGGGTGACCCTTATTCCCCGGGGCCATGGTCAGGAAGATGTGCCAGGTGTGCAGCAATTTATATTGTCATTTTATCAATCTGTGCCGTGCGTGTAATATGCCGGTAAAAAAATGTGCCACGTGCCGTGCTCCGAAAGTTGTTTAAAGATGAATGCATGGCAATGGGCCGCAAAGCCATCACACACATACGTATATCTGCATTGAGTTTACCAGATTTCTAACGTGTTAACCCAGGTTCTAAGAGTTGGCACAGTAATGAATATTTATTCATTATTCATAGATCACAATTCGGTTGGACATGAATTACAAATTGAAGCATAGAAGGCGACAATTCACATGGCTTGGGATTGGTGCCTTCTAATGAAGGACTGATTTTGGCAAATAGTACAAACCTGCATGTCTTTGTCAGGAATATGTTATGTTCCCAACATCCTCCTGGCCGGTGGAATGGGTTTGCGTGGTGCAAACCCATTGAATAAAAAATACAAGCACTGAAATTTTTATTATTATCAGTTCTCATTTTTTGCAACTTTGAAGGTTAATTGTATAGACGAACAACAAACATTAATAAAATATGAATAGCTTCAAGGAACACATTACCACATATGTGTAGAACCACGACACATGACAATGTAGGTATCAGCATTACTGTAAAGTCTGTAAAGATAATGTTGCCATACCATTCCGTTGGGAATATGTCTAGACATATTTTATTTACAAAAACTATTTTTTCATTAATTAGGATGAAATTATTTCTGACTTCATTCATTATTGTAGAACCTCTAATAACACTATCATCGTACAATTGGTATAGTATACATAGAACAAGCAAAATAAAAAACCGGACGGAATATTTGATTACCTAGATAGGGAAGGTAAAAAAGCAATGTTGCCATAAGAAATTTGTAGATACTTTCTTTCTAAGTAAATTTCTAGATTTTTACTTTTACAAAATTTTCATATCAAGGTACCAGGTAAATCATATATTATTGAAGGATAATTAAAGGCATATTGGATATTTGTTTTACGTCAGTTTGACTGTTCCTTGACAAACTGTATTTGCGCCGACATCTGCGTGTGCGTGCACATAAAATTTAAAATTCATTATGTGCGGGAAAATTCCCTGAAAAAACCTGCATAATCCTGAGTGTGGCCGGTGGCCCTGGGGGTAGGGGTGTCCCTTATCAGTTATTACCCATCATGCGGAAATGGCCGCCATTTTTTTCTCGAATGAGATATGCTAATTCTATCCATCACATTTTTAAGCCAACACCTGTTTGCAACTTTTATGAAAATTTGATTTTTTAATAGAGTGAATAATTTTTTGCTACATAGGTACCTTAGCAGAGATACTTTACCAAAATTTCACTTTTCACACTTTTTTTCAAGGATTTTTTACAGGTAGTATTTAGTAAATGTATGATAAATTTCTCAACTTTCTTTATGCTACATAGATAGTAAAAATGTTGAACTTTATGCTATTATTTTTTTGTTTTGCAATATTTTAATTAGTTTAGGCTAGTTGCTACAACACTTCTAAAAAATGTCAGAGGACTGTCCTTTATTACCTCACCTGTCCCTTATTACCCCATTTGACAGTATTAGGGTAAATGCAGTATATTCCGCCATCATGAGTAATTCCAACACTTCTCAACTTTTTTCCTTTATACTAAGCTTTGTCTTAGTTCCACGCATTCTTTGATGGTTGAAATAGTGACGTCATACTATTGCGTGCCATACTATTGCCTAAACACTAGGTCAGGGCACTGGGTCACCCAGTGAGAACATCGCGAAAAACGTGTCACAGTTGATAGTTGACCTTGCTCTACCAAATAGTAATGAACTGTGTAGAAAGAATATTATGGTTCAAACTTTTGAATAAGTCTGTGAATATATTAGGAGTCCCTCAAGTATACTTACATTTGCCGATTTGAAGTGGTAAATAAATTAATAGATGATTAAATTAAGCGATGGTTTTAGACACCGAGAAACTAATTCCGACACAGCTTGGAATTAGACACACACAGCTTGTTCCAAGCTGTGTCCAAAAATTAAAATTTTCTTAATTAAAAGCTTAAAAGATCTTAATTAAAAGCTTAAAAGATCTTAATTAAAAGCTTAATTAAAAATTTTAAATTTTTTAATTAAGCTCATTCCGAGCTGTGTCGTATTCCAATACAGCTCACACATCTGAATTCCAACACAGGGCGCCAGTATTACAAATTAATAGAGTTTGGAGCGCTGCCGGATTTAGTCTCACAATATGCCTAATTTGATTTTTCATCGTTGCTGGCGCGTAGTGTGGTGTTTTGAGAGTGACGTAAGTCGTAAAGCCATCAGAACTCGAGTGGCGCATACGGTGATATATTTATAGCCATTCATTTCTTGCTATGTCCTTAATGTGTCAGAATAGAGTAAACGCGATATTCTGAATGCATGTAACTAAGAAAATGCTTAATATAAAGGAAAAAAGTTGAGAAGTGTCGGAATTACCCACGATGTTGGAATATACCGCGTTTAGCTACCCTATACTGCGTTTACCCTAGCCAGCAGTGTAGAATTCTAGAGGGATATTAAATTAGCCAGTACACCTAGCATATTGGAAAGCAGGACATGAAAGCTTGGAAAGGCCAGGAACTTTACACTTTCAGTCAATTATGTACATATCCTATCCCTTTCTAGAATTCCAGCTGTGATTGGTTGATGGGATTGTGATTTTAGCCCCTTTCAGCTTTCCAGCTGTGATTGATTAATGGAATTGTAATATTATCTGCTTTCTAGCTGTGATTGGTTGATGGGGATGCTTTAAAGCTGTGATTGGTTGATGGGGATGCCTTCAAGCTGTGATTGGTTGTGCCCTTAAGCCCCACCCCCAAATGGTCAATGCAAGTTCAAAAATCGGCCTAAGAAATGCCGGTCGTTTCTCCGTATATCCGTATAACTCGCGAACGAAGGCAAAATAAAAAAATGTCACGAGCTAAACATCGCCATTAGGAGATTAGGTTTCTATATGCAAAGTTTTGTTTGAATCTTCTAAGTATTTTAG